CTAGTAAATAATTTCCTTCGTTGTTGTTCAGGTCTCATCGCAGTGTTTATAGCATATTGTTTAGGATTAGAAGGAAGGTCTTTTTTTTATTAAATATATTGACGCTTTTATTAAGCGATAAGACATATTTTATCTTTGCAAAGTGTCATTATTATTTATATATATATAGTTATAAGAGCTGCACTCGAAAATAAAAAGTGACCCTTTGTAAAAGTGTCGTAGCTATTGCGTCATTATTTGCTACATTTTCTTGAAGTGTATTTCTCTTTCTTTAATAATCTCTCCATTTCATAATAATCGCAACAGTTTGATTTTTGCTTTGTTCATATATATGCTTACTTTGACAATACTTTTTACCAGGCCAATATATAAAAAACACATGTTGTCATGTAAAATAATTTTGAATTAGTCTTTATATATATTTTCATTATATTAACATTTAATAATTAATCACCAATGTGTAAAAACTATAATATATAATTGGATATTAAGAAAGTATAAATCAAGAGGAATCTAATAAGATCGACCCCAATGGCTATATTTTTCTTAACTTATAAATCATCAAAGCTAATCACAATGAGATGTGTGAATAGTGTAAAAGTCTAAGTGTTGCAAGTAATAAAAAAACGGAGGAAGCTAAGTATGAAGTGTCTTTGAGTTAGATATGCCTTTGATATGTGCTCCATCCCTCTTATATCCTTTTGTACGCCCACTATATATAATGAAAGGGGTATGATTGAAATCTCTCGCTCGCTTTTGCTAAAGGGGGTTACATGCAAGGATTTAGACAAGAATTAGGGTTTGTATATTGTGATGTAATAATCTCATAAACCCTTCCACAACCCACGTATATAATACATGTCTTTTGGCATACTTGGAAAATATTCCAACACCTTAAACTCCTTTTAATTCCCTTGGCTGGCAATCTAGGTCCTTTCAATCTTTCATGCATTATCAATATTTCTCTTGATCTAAACAATACTCTGACTTAATGCGTATGTAACTGCATCAAATCAAATGATAGTCAGTAGCAAACCCCAATAATAACACCGGCTTGTAAATTATAGTAGGTTTCTAGTAAATCATTGAAATCACGTAAAAATAATACTACGTAACCAAATTGATTATCTCACAGCTAGTTAATCTTATTTGTATTAATCGCATACCTGATCAATTGAAATTTCCTTAAGGGAGCATCCGCGCGCTAACCTACATAGGAATTGCATATACAAGCATTATCGATCATTTTCTAATTTGATGGTGTAAACAATTTGTTTTGGTTCAAGTGAGGTAATTAGCTAGAGAGGCTGAGAGAGTGAAGGTTGAGAGAGGAGAGACGGAAGGAAAAAGAGGGAAATGCATAAAAAAAAAAAAATTAAATAAAAAAAAAATCATGAATTTAAGAATATGAAACGAACTATATATTGATAGTAATTTACTAGAACCTTTTGATCTTTCGAATTAATGACTAGAAATTGTTGGTCATGATCATGATTATAATTGTAGACTCACTGGAGACTAAATAGATTATTCAACCTTAATTAAGTGATATTGACTAAAAATACTAGAATTTAATTAAGTGATAATGACTTGGAATACTAGAATTGACTACTACTTGCTTGTACAAGTCCACAATGGAAGATAAGATCCATTACTAGATAGCCAAGGTGGGATTTTCTTAGCAATGTGATGCATGTTGATGGTTCCACACCCATGGCCATGGTGGGTAAGGTGGGCTGTTTCGTTACACATACGAACTAAGTGGTAATAGATATGGATCATTTTTACAAAAGACAATATTATGAGTTTACTTTTCCTAGAGATGACCTAAATTCAATTCGGGACGGGTCGGGCTAGGTCTTAGCATCAAATTTCATGTCCCACCTGTAAAAAGTGACGGGCTTTTCGGGCTTTTTTTGGACCGGATTCGCTTTTTTTTACGGGCTAATGAGTCGGGCCATAGTTGATCACCTCTACTTTTTCTATACTTTATTTGCAAACCGCGTGGAGGGACAAGAGCTTATGATGATCTTAAAGGGTGATAAAGCAAACTATGTGCACCATGCACCAATTACTGCAAACCATGGCGATATAAGCCAGAATAGGGATTTGATTTTTGTTTTATTTCTTGGCTATTGACAAGCAATAGAAACAAAAATAAACTACACTTTCTCCCTATCTCCTTAAATACTATGACAAAGGAATCAAGTAAATAAAAACGGATCGGGATGAGAGTGAGGGATAGCTCATGTGGTTAGAGTTTTACTTTCGATCACAGGAGATTTTGTAATCATCAATTCTCATCATCCACCTCTTGTGGCTCTTTAAACATTAAAAAAATTAAATAAGAAAGGATGAACTATTTATTTATTATTTGATTCATCTTCGTTGACATATATGTGAAGTTCTTCAAAATAAAAAAAATAAAAAATATATGAAGTATAAAGGCAATTATAATTTTACATACATGTATGTACAATGTCTTATGATGTTGGCTCATTTGTACTAAATAAGCAAATATTTTAGCTCATTTATACAATAGGACTCAATTTCTATCTCCTATTTCACTTGCTAAAACTAATAAGATATATTTTCTCTCTACATTTTATTTATAATTATAATACCCATATTCTCTCCCAAAATCCATATAACTCATAACTCATTTTTCTTCTCTTATGCCATCCTCTAAGGTCACAAGAATCACCTTGACTTTCTTTCATTTTCTCTTTCAAACTCCATCTACCATGTTTGCATGCTAATTTAAGAATCTTCAATTTAAAGTTTCTGAATTTTCTCTTTTCTTTTTCATTGAGATAATGAGACTATGCATAATTTTTAGAAACTTACATCACTTCAAAGGTAAAATTTTCCTGGCAAGGACATGCAATAATGTAATATCATACTACCTTCGTTAAATATTAGTTGTAATTTTGGGCTATTATTTGTGAGATATAAAATATTTCAAAGTTGCAACTAATAATATTTAACGGAGGTAGTACATATATTATATCATCATACAACTCAAATTAAATCATATACCCCAATGGTGATTTACTCAACCCAAAAGTAATGCATAAACATAAGAAGTGCATGACACAAAATTTATGCCGCAATAGGATCAACAAGAATAGTTGCAACTTTTTCTTGGATAAACTTGCTGATAGTATAGGGATGATTCTGTGGAAGTCATCCTTAAAATGACTACCATATATTGCTGATGTGGTGTTCATTAATTGGCCTATTTTTGATTTATTTTAAACTATGGTATTGATTAAAAATGCATGTATTCTTTTAAATACATGATGAACTATTATCGAAAATACATGTAGTATAATTTCTAATGATGAACTATTATCGAAAATACATGTAGTATAATTTCTAAAAATATATTTTAATTCATTTTCGAAAATATAATAATAATATGATTGAAATTAAAATTAAAATTAAAAATGAAAAATTAAATTTAAAAATATGTTCGTCATTGTTCTTCGTCATTGATCTTAATAACCACCCATCATCATACTATTCTCGCTCTAATTTGTTCAAGAAATCAACCAACATTTCGACCACAATTTGTTCATAAATTGTGTTGTTATCAATTTTTTAAGGATTCATATAGTATTCTCAACCTTAGAGTTCGAAATTTTCTGATCAATAATAATGTGAAAATTGTATTATAAGTTGTGCAAAAAACGATCAATTCATTTTAGGATTCAAATATAATTTAATGAGCAAATTAATCAAAGGAAGAAGTCGCAATATTTTTTTCATCTCGCGGACCCTGTTTGATCTGTAGAACACAAGTGTAAATTTTGTTCTTTGTTTGTAGTTCAGGAATTGTTAAATACGGGTCTGGACCCGTAAACCAAGAGAGAGAGAGTCCATTTCACAAGTCTAAAAGAGGTTTCATCCAAAACCATATGGCAATGGGAGATTTAGCCCATTAGTCTTATAAATTGTTTAACTCTATTTTGTTTTATCAATGTGGGACACTTACATGTGTTATTTGGTGGGATACTTCAACACTCCCCCTCACATGTAAGGTCCCTTTAACTCAAGGATCACATGATCCAATTTAATTTGGCCCAAAATACTTAATGTCATTAAAGGTCCCAAACCATGGGCCTGTCAATATACTTAAGCCATTAGAGGTCCAAATATACTTAAGCCATTAGAGGTCCAAATTGTGGGGCCCACAAACCAAGAGAGAGAGTCCATTTTACAAGTCTAAAAAAAGTTCCATCCCAAAATCATTTGGCAATAGAAGGTTTAGCCCCTTAGTCTTATAAAGTGTTTAACTCTCTTTTGTTTTATCAATGTGGGACACTTACATGTATTATTTGGTGGGATATACTTCAACGGGAATTCGCCTATGTGGACTTTGGTCATTACCTAAAATATGGAGTTCATCGTTTTCTAACAAATGACAAAATGTAATTTCGAACATTGCCAAAATTCCAACTGTTCAAAATTTTTTTAAAAGGATTGAACAACCTAGAGTCATAATAAATTAGTGATCTTCTAAATTAAAATTTCTAAATCAATTTATCTGAAATTTATTGGTGCCAATAGAAAATCACAAAAGTGAAAAAATTCAATTATATATATATATATATATATATATATATATATATATATATATATATATATATATATATATTTATTTATTGTTGGATCTCTCCATTTTTTCTTTATCTTAAGATTAATAAATCTAGCATAAAAACAAAGTTTCATCATTATTTCATTGGCCTTGACAATGAATATGGCTCAAATAAAGGGGATTTACTTGCTCCAAACTCTCTGTCGGGGGTTGATCGAGCATAACATCAAATAAAGAAGTGTGGAATATTGATTTAACATAGTTACTATACATGAGCTAAATAGATGATTACTCTCACTATGTTATCACATATATCAACGCATGTCTCACTGTCAAATCATCACGATTAAACATTGAATTTTTTAATTTTAAAAATGCTTTTAAATATCAGGCAATTACTTATTATATCATAACTTCAAAGTTTTCTCATTAGATAAAAATATCACAAAAAATAATAACTAAGGGCATTGCCTCACAAATTTAATAATAAAGAGTCTTAATATGCTTGAAACACGAAAAACCGACTTAAGTAAATGGTAAAAATGTGTAAGTCAAATTTAAACTAAAATAATTTAATAATCCAAGTAAAATAACATGGTTGCTCCACATCAGGTATTATTGGAACCCTAGTTCAGGGTCATGTCTTTGCCTCTTTGGCGTACGAACCATGATTTATTCAATGATGATAGGTTCAATTAGAATTATTTCAACTTGTTCTCGGATAAACTGGGTCATAGTATAGCCATCTTCTTCATCAGGATAAACATCGTATAATATTCTTGTTAAGTTAAAGACACAAGTTAGCAATGGCCTTGGAACAATAGTAGGTCTTAATATCACTTCGTTTAAGTCCTTCCATGCACACTCCACCTCTGATCGAAGCTCCTTATGGTTTCTTCCATGGACTTACCAAACTGACCCATGTGACTATTTAATGCAGTTACAATATGGCCTCTTTTTACTTCAAACTGCAAAAATATTCAATTCCATTAGTTAAAAATAGAAATACGAATAATGAGTAACCATATGTTAATTTACAGCAGTAACGTAGAATAAATTTGTTGAGACCATAAACAAACCCACATATGACTGTATGAGTGGAAGTATTTTCCCGCAATAATAAAATTATGATTAGGGGAGGGGGGGGGGGGGTGGGATGTGTATCCCACATTGAAAATAAGAGAAAGTCGTGTCCACTCTACCAGGTTAAGGAAATACTTCACTCATTGTCATATAGTTTTGCAATGTGTGGCACCTTCTTAGACTTATAAAGTGGATACACACATGAAATATCAAGCAACTTTAGATACATACCTCATGGCTAGAAATGTCATTCATGAGCCGCCCGATTATACAAGAGTCTTTTATAGCCTTGGGATATTGGTTCACCCATTCAAAGGCATCTTTAGTTGCAAACTCCCCCATGCCTAGAAAGGATGACACAGCAACATACAAATAGCCGGAGCTAAAAACCCCATTTTTCATGTATTCATCGTACGTTGGAACCAATTTTTGTTCACGCCATTTGGCTTCTTCAAAGTAGGCTTGGCAAGTTTCTGACAACTGTTAATTAGGGAAAAAAATAGTATTAATAATCTTTATTATTGTTAATGTAACGTATAATTCATACCAGAAGCTAAACAAATTAAATAAAAACAATAATTACGGATAAATAATAAAACTTTTATTAATATGTACATGTTTTTTGGTCGAATGAATAGCAAATATTTGTTGCTCCGGGGTTAAATCTTTCCCAATTTCGTCCAACGTATCTTGCGTTGCTTGATAAGCTACTTTCATGTAGTTAGGAAGTTGGTCGACGTAGCTTCTCTCACCCCTAATTTTAATTTCCATCAATTAATATTCAAGCTATTAATTTAATTAAATAAACATGCATATGAAAATTAAATCAAGTGTATCTATTCATGTTAGAAAACCTTAGAAACGCTTAGGTGAAGAGTTGTAACTCATCAACGGTTCCATAAGAGTCATAGATGTCGTCAATCACAGATACTATCTTGAAAAGTTTGGCATTAAAGATCCTAGCTAATGAGTAGCGAGGCTCATAGTACGCGCCCAATATCCAAAAGCAGGCCTCCACAACTCTGTCGCGTAAAAAGGGTAGTTTCTTGGTAAGATCTAGCCTTCTCCACCACCTATGTTGAGCGTAAACAAAAGCATTAGAAATACATCAACGCTTAAATGGTTATAATAAGTTCCTCCAATACTTTTTTTTTTTCCGGTGTATAGAGATCCACAAGGGAGAATGATAAGAATTGATCTCAGATCCTCTGCTAGAACCAAGAGAAACTTTAACCAACTGCATTATTCCTCACTCTCATAATAAGTTCTCCCAATATACTTCGTATGCCATTGTACAGTTACATTAACATACATGCATCCAGCAGACACAAATGCCTTTGGTTTCGTTGATATATATTATTGGATGAACTAATAACCTAGATAGACTCATTAGTAACCTAGCTCACATATTTACGTTCCTAGTAACTTCCTGAAGCTCGGTGTTGTACAATATTTGGAGTATGTTAAAATCTACCTTTGCAAATCTAAGTAAACTTTCCTCATGAGAAGACTTTGGTTCATAGATTGAGATTTGATATCTTGATTCTAGCCTTAAAGTGCGCCTGTGAAGAGGTTGTTTCAATGAACGGAAACTTGTTCAGCCATGGGAGAGCTTAACTGTGTAGCAAATGATTTTAGCTGAGTAGTTGCAAATGTAAGGGCTTCGTCGAGTTCGTTTATCCTCTCCATGTACTCTTAAATATGTCAAATATGAAATATATACACTTTCCCATTCACGTGTGTACTTTATTATTGCAACATGTAGGGAATGCATGGAACTTAGAAAGGTCATATACTGTATATTATATAATATACTACGTACATATATAGGACTAGATAGGTTGCACCCATTACCAAGAGAGTAATTTCACTTCACAAGTTTAAGGAGATTTTATTGCAAAATTATGTGGTAATAGGAAAATCAAGTAGCCCCTTAAATTTATAAAGCGTTTAACTTTATCTTCTTTTAACACGTAGGGAATGCTTGGAGTGTTTAATTTTAAAAGGCCATTTGATAAGAATGATAGAGTATAAAACATATTATTAGGCCTCAACCATCAGCTTAAGATTTTGATTGAGTTGGTTCTTTAATATGAAATATATATATATATATATATATATATATATATATATATATATATAGAGAGAGAGAGAGAGAGAGAGAGAGAGAGAGAGATTGGATCATGTGAAAACAATCCTAAGGCTGAAAACCGAAAACATATGATCTAGACCATTGAATTTTCATTTGACAGATTAGATTACATTCGCGTTATTTGTAATCTTGACCATCCATTCTCTCTGCTCTATTTTTATATTTCTTTAATCTCACGATCTCACTGTTTCTCTCTCCTTCTCCCAAAAAATCATCAAATTTCAGAGGAATTTGCTTCAATCTTCATCAATAATTTGCATTAATCTTCATCAATTTCGTCTTTAGATTCAAAATTAAACCTGAAAAGTGAGTTTTGCGTTTCAACAATCAATTATGTGAGTTAATCATTTTCGTCGTTGAATATTCATCCCATTGAAGCGAGTTTTGAGCTTTCTCCTCCATTGAAGCGAGTTTGAGCTTTCTCGATCCTCCATTGAAGCGAGTTCTTCCACCTCTTTCGTTTTTTTGTTTTTCGATTGTCTAGGTTAAATTGCTTGTTTATTTGATTTTATTACAGTAGTTGTTAATCGATTTGCTAATTATCGCTAATCGATTCGTTGATTATTGCTACTCAATTTTTTTAGTTGCTTGTTTATTTGATTTTTTTTGGTGGGTGTCGGTGGTTGTGGTGGTCTGGGTTTGGGGATTTTGGGTTTGGGGTTTCGGTGGTGTCGGTGGTCTGGGTTTGGGGGTTTCTAGAAACCCGGCAGAGGCTGAGCTCTTGGAAGATATTGGGAAGCAGGGACACACGAGCTTGCTGCTATCTTATGGGACATTGGAGAATTGCTCAAAGGTTCCTGCAAATTCGAGTTCAGCTATGTTCACAGAGAAGCCAACGAAGTGGCTCATTATCTTGCGCAAATGGCAATTGAAATGGAGGGAGATATAGTCAAGCACAACAACATTCCAACTTGCTCCAAAAATGCTTATGAAAATCATATGGTGGAAAGCTCCATCTAAGCTCACAGTACTGAAGACCTTGCCTTTTCTTTTATGTAATGGGTTTTGTTGGATTGAAGTAGAACAAGTTTCTTATTTGCACTCGTATGGTTTTTTTTTTTTTTTTTTTTTTTTTTTTTTTTTTTTTTGAAGCTGCTATAATTGCTCCCTTGAACTCTTTGTGGTTGATTGATTAAGTAATATGATTTCCCTTATTTAATCTTTACGTAAATGTTGTCAAAATTGATGTAGTTACCTTATTTTTATATATAGCGACCTTTATTTTTGTATATAGTGACCTTTATGTAAATGGTGTCAAAAACTCAGTCGATATAGTTACCTTATGTTTGTATATAGTGAACTTAATGTAAATGTTGTAAAAATTGATATAGTTACCCTATTTTTGTATATAGCGACCTTAATGTAAATGCTGTAAAAATTGATATAGTTACCTTATTTTTATATATAGTTACGTTATTTTTTTTTAAACCGTTAGATCTTGTTAGTAATAATGGATGGTTGAGATTTTCTGTTTTTAGTTTTCACCGTAAGCCCTGTTTTCAGCGGATCCTCCCCGTATATATATATATATATATATATATATATATATATATATATATATATATATAATCGGTGCATATGAGTTTTCTATATGCGATAGTTACAAAATAAAGGTACGATATTGTAATGTGATGAAGTGAGTGTCTAAAATCTTACCGCATGATTTTTTTTTTTAAATAAAAATAAAAATACAAACAAATATCGTGTTAATAATATAAAATTTGACATAAAACTATGCAAGAACAATATCATGGTGATGAAGATGGTGACTTATCACATGAAACATTGAAACCATGTTGTGTCGTAGAAGACGAAAGCGAAGAGAAACATAATAAAGATCATCCTCGAAGGAACTATCATCATACATCTTCTTGTGGAACTCTTGATAAGTGTCTTCAATTTCATTTTCAAAGTGGTATGCAACTCCAAGCCGATGAATGCTATCGAGAAATACAAGTCTTTCCTTTGGATCCTTGTCAACAACCAAAATTTCTTTGCGCACTATCTCCTTCAGTTGTTCAGCCTCTTGCTCCATTTTCCTTAAGATAACCTATGCCAATAGTATAAGTTATTCCATAGCCGCACCACGTTTCAAATAAATCAAAGTACTCCCGTTGTCTCAAATTACGTAATATCAATTTTAATACTTCTTTCGTGTTTTAATAAGTGTTACACTTTGACCAAACACGTAGAGACACGACTTGGTGTGACCATTAATTTATCTAATTTTATATTAGTAAAATTATAGAAAAATTGGTATTATGAAATTATACATTATAACGAATCCAACAATTTATAATATAATAACATTTGTTTTTCATATATTAGTAAATTAATCAAGTCAAAATCATCTCATTCTGAAATCGGGAGGAAAGCTCTAACCACTTAAACTGTCCCAAGCTCACTCTCATATGTACAAAATTTATCAAAAAATAAAACACGTGTAATTGCTACATACCTTATTTAAAAATAAATAAATAAAAAGTGTAAATGCTACATACCTCATCTGGAGGACAATACGTTAGAAACTGATCGCCCCAAACGTTGGGATGAAAATCAGCAAGAGGACGACTTATTTCTGCGCTCTCTTTCTCGCACTCCATATTTTTCTTACGAGATTTTTTGTTTTTTTTTGGTTTGTTTAAGAGTAATAATCTAAATTTATTATTAAGCACTAGATCACATTACATGCTATGTGAATATAGGATTTAATTCTAGGCTTCTAGCGTACCCATTATAAGGGGACAATTCCGTCCGTTGCTTCCACCAACCAAGGTTCCTAGTGCATGCACATCATAATATCTTGGATAAAAGGGTATTTTTGGCATTTTAACTAAAAACTTGAGATAATCTAAGCTAGAACTTATTAGTTAGTACGGAGTAATAAATATCTAAAGTAGTTAATAGTGAAAAGTTAATACTCTTAATTAAGACTTTTTTATCATACGTAATTAATAACTAAGGTGTAATAATTAATACTACAAAATTAAACAACTTATTGTTCAAATTTAATGTTCTTATAGTTCATTTTTTATTCTTAAAGCCAACCGCCAGTAGCTGATTTAACTAAACTTCTTTCTAAACATTCAATAGTTAGAATCCAACACATGCATACAACCAATACTAATAAAAACATATCAATTTAGGGTCTGTTCTGTTCACCTTATTTTCACTTATTTCTGGTTTAATAAGTTCAGATAAGTTTAGTTAAGTTTAGTTCAGGAAAAATAAGTTCTGATAAGGGTTACCCAAGTACAAATTACAACTAAAATAAGTTTTAATAAGGTCTAATAAGTTCAGATAACTTCAGGTAAGTTCAGATAAGATAAGTTCAAATAAGTGAAAATCATGTGAGTAGAACATACCCTTAAGTTAAGTTCAAATAAGCTTCAGTTAAGTTTAGATAAGTTAAATTAAGTTCAGATAAGTGAAAATCAGGTGAATTGAACACACCCTTAGTTAAGTTGAACAACCAACAATCGATTGTCAAATAATCCTCAATATGATAATTAGAGGTGGATTACAAATCGCAATGGATTCGGAGTTCTTTATATTTAAAAAAAAAATAAGTGTCAAATGACGAAGATAATGTTTATCAGATAACAAAGAAATAAAAATTATAAATGTGAAGGGGAGTGTGATGTTATATCATTATTTATAGTACTATATAAAGACAAAGGGCTTCTTGGGTGATAAATTTGCTTTTTTTCAAAATGCCCTTCTCAATTTGCAAAATTACTTATTCACTTATTTTTTAACAGAATTCGCATAATTTTTGGAAAGCTAATTTATTCACAATTTATTTTGTTCTTAACAACAATATAAATTGTTAATTTAAAAAAAAAATCTAAACTAAAAATCTTAACTGCCCACAAATGAGGTTTTTTTTTTTTTTTTTTTTTTGTTTCACAGTATATTCTTTTTTCCAAAAATCTTAACTACTCTTAATTTTTTTTATTTTTGGGATAAAACTCCTCCTAAATTTGCTCATTTATAGGTTTTTTATTTCTTCTTTCTTTCTCATGCTTTTAGTAAATAGTTTATCTGTATTACGGTTATTAGTTTTACAACTCCTAATACACATGGCTTTTTTTTTCTTTTTTATTAAAAAACATATTATTTTTAATAATCTTATGTTACTAATTACCAAAAATAATAATTATTTTAATTAAAATCTTAAGCCATGGTTTAGTTTTAACAATTAAATTATTTTATAATTAATTTTTTTTAAAAAAAACTACTATCGCCCTGCAAGCCACCTCTCACCTCAGCTCCCCTGCCAACAACTCCCCTCTCCATCTCGCTGGCGCCCATCCCTCCCCCGCTCGGCGAACCCCACCCCCATATGACCCCTTCACCCTCCCCCTTTCCCCCACCCCCATGGTGACCTCCTCACCCCGATACCTTTCCCCCACCCTGTAATCACCCTCATCCCCCTTTCCCCCGCCTCGATACGACCCCGGCCCCTTCCGCAACCTAGACCACCCCCACCTCTTTCCTCCCTTTCATTCCCACCACCATGACCACCGCACCCCACCTCACCCTACCCACAACCTAGACCCATACCCTAACCACCTAGCGATGAGAAGTTCCTTAAAATTATAAGGATTTTATGTACACTTAATCCTACCAATTTTTCTTTCCCATCTTTCTCATTTTAAGAACCTTCTCATTAGATTTCAACCCTTACAGTTAATCCTACCAATTTTATAAGTTATCATATTTATCAACTTTATTTATGTCTCTACCGGCCCAACCAAAAATCTAAAATAGACCTGAAAATATACTTTGAAATAATGACAAAAATTAATTAAAAGGGATGAAGGGGGTATCATAATACTTGTTGCTTACTAGTCGAGTCCTGCTATCAAGTGTAGAAAAATCAAACGTTTTGACAACATGTATCTCTAAAGTCTATAATACTGTACACGAAGTGCTATAAGTGGTTTAGTTTAATACTGTAGTACGAAGGAGAAAGGACAAAGGAGAAGCATAGCACAACATCAAAAAATATTTAGCTCAAGGCGTACTAGACTATTCAACTCTAATACTGTAAATGTAATTACGTAATTTGAAAGTTCAACTTTTTAACTCTCTTTTTCTATCTAATACGGAGTATTCGTCAAAGCAGGATTCCGCTGGATAAATGTGACTTCTTGACGATGCTAAACGTCGCTCCTAATTTATCAAGGATCGCTCCCATTTTGACATGAAAGGATCATATTGCCCTTTCCATAACTTGGACTATATAAGGCTCCACGGTTAAAAAGATTTCCGAACATTTTAATATTATTCCCAAGCACATACGATCCACCACTTGCTTAAAAAAATTCCCGAGCCCACCATATCCAACCCCACGACATCCAACCCAAAATTCTCAAGCCCACCACCAAAAATCAGATTTTTTTTTTTAAAAAAAATTATTAAGCTTTAGCAACGGATTTAGGACGATGGACGACGGACGACGACAACGATCGTACACCGGAGACATCGTCGAAGGAGTCTGTAAGTCGTCGAACTTTTTTTTTTTATTTTTTGAAAAAAGGACATCCGCCTAAAAAATCTAGATCCTCCTTGGTGGATCTGCCTAAAATTTTCGGATCCACCATGGAAGATCCGGAAATTTTAGGCGGATCCACCATGGAGGTTCCAAATTTTCTAGGCGGATGTCCTTTTTTTTTTTTTTTTGTATTTTATTGATTAATCAATCAAATTATTTTTCTTTTTTGAAACCAATTAATCAAATTTATTAATGTAATCTTTGGATGATAATTATAATTTTTATTGTGATTATTATTATTTTTGTGATAATTTGAGTAATTAGTATTAGTATTTTTTAGTTAATATTAGTTATTTTTGTGATATTAGTTAATGTTAGTTAATAGTAGTTAATGTTGTGATATTAGGTAATGTTAGTGTTAATTGATGTTAGTTAATATTAGTTAATATTAATTAATGTTATGATATTAGTTAATGTGATAATATTAGTTAATGTTGTGATATTATTATTGTTGTTGTTGTTGTTGTTGTTGTTGTTGTTGTTTTGTATTATTATTATTATTGTTGTTGTTGCTGTTATTAGTATGTTGCGCGAAATGTGTGGTTTATAATTGTTGTTATTATTATTGTCATTATTATTGTTATTAATATTGTTATTATTGTTATTAATATTGTTATTATTGTTATTATCATTATTATTATTATTGTTGTTGTTGTTGTTGTTGTTGTTGTTGTTTTATAGTATTATTATTGTTGTTGTTGTTTTAAATAAATTACTATTGTGATTAGTGATATTATAGTATTATTATTGTTTTATAAATATTGTTATTAATATTATAATAAAAAAATATTGGAGAATTTTGTGTGTTTTCTTTTATTTTTATAGGATTTGGAGTTTGAAGACGGCGGTGATGGTGTGATTATAGTGTGAATTTTGTCACGGACATGTTTTTCCCAACGTTTGATGATGCAGTTACTTGGGCGGATGCTGTTGCCGTAAATCTAGGATTTATTTTAGTTAAATCGTCTTACAACAAAACCAGAGATGTTTGGTCGTATCGATATTTGAGATGTGATCGGGGACATAAGAGCAAGCCAAGAGATTTTGAGAATGTAATACGAAAGGACACAAAAACCAAAGCTAATGGTTGTCCTTTCTACATCAAGATATATTATGAATTCATCACAGACAGTTGGAAGATCCATGCAAAAAATGATGCAACCGGGACCCATAACCAACCAATGATTGTGTATCAGGAGGGCTATCGTAAAATGTGTGGCTTGAGCCCGGATGCAAAGAAGGTTGTGCGTGACATGACAAAGTCCAAGGTTGCACCGCGTAACATCATGGTAATTATGCAGAGCAATTTCCTGATGATCATCTAAACATCAGACACATTTACAATTGCCGGAATGAATTGAGAACGGAGATGTCTGAAGGCAGAGGAGTTGTTCAACAATTTCTTCATTTGGCGAGACAGAGTCAGTATATGTACTAGGTCATGGCCAATGACCTCGGCGTTCTACAACATACATTTATGGTGCACCCAATCACGGTAAACATACTACGCATATACCTACATGTGATCGGTATGGATTCGACATACAAGACCAACAGATACGGGATGTCGTTCTTTGAGATAGTAGGTGTAACACCGTCAAATCAGAATTTCCTCGTTGGTTATGTGTTCATGCGCAACGAGTGCACGGCAAGCTATCGGTGGACGTTGTAGAGATTAAGGGAGTTGATTGGGTATGATAAAGAACCGTCGGTATTTTTTTTCAGACCGTGAGCTTGGCCTCTGTGCAGCATTGAGAGAAGTGTTTCCAGTGACGTCGCATTTACTTTGTCGATGGCACATTAAAAAAGATGTGAAAGCTAGGGTAACTGATATGTTCAAAAATAAGAGGATCGGTGCGAGTTTTAAAAATGGCAAATGAAAACGTATCATGGATGCAACCGAGGTGGATTATAATGTTGTTGTACATACAATGAAAGCTCGGTGGGCAAGTTATCCGGTAGTGATTACTTACGTTGAGAGAACCTGGCTTTGTCTTAATATCAAATTTGTGACATTTTGGACAAACCAAGTTCTTCACTTTGGTAACACGAGTAATTGTAGAGTTGAGAGCCAAAATTCGGCAGTGAAGACGTGGTTTGAATCATCGACAGGTTCGTTGTTATAATGTTGTCGTTGTTGACTTTACTTCGTTTTAGTAATTTTAATAAAAAATCATAATGTTATTTTATAATCTGAATCAACGACAGGTTCTTTG